AGAGCACTCACTGTGGCCCACCGGATGGAGAAGATAGTGAAGGGGCCACACTTACGCAATCTGAAGAGCTCGGGTGCCCAGCACTCGGGCTCGCTCATACTTGGTCATGTATGGGGTGGTGATTCGCTTCTGGTTGGCCTGCGGTCGCTCCCCAGAAGGAAGGATCTCAACGTTCTCCTGGCCCTCCTGGACACCAAGACAAAAAAGGAAAACTTCAGGGTACCTTCCTTGAGTGGAGGGAGGGTGAACGATGACCAACACCATTAATGCTTACTGGATGCCAAGAGCCATGCTACTGCTAGTACCTCGTTAATCTCCATACCAACCTTATGAGGTAGGAATTACAGTCCCCATTCCAGAGGTCTGGAGAGTCAGCTAACATTGCCAAAATCTCAGACCCAATAATACAGAAGAGGAATTATAAGTGGTATTCCAAAGCCCAGTTCCTCAACCAAAAGGGAGTGAAACAAAAACTTCTAGGACCAGATGGGCTGGTCCCAGATTGGTTGCCCTATAAGAAGTCCATAAGCACACCCTAAGCAGAAAGCAAGGCAAAAACACCCCTCTTTCAGATAGGGACACTGAGCCAGTGGGTCAAGTCAGGGTGGCGCAGGAAGAGTCATACATATTCACACACTGAAGAGCTACTGATGATTGGGCAAGGTGGTGCTTGCCCATAATCCCAGCAACTCGGGAGGCGGAGACAACAGGATCTGAGGCCAGCCTCATCCATTTAGTGAAGCCCTAAGCAACTCAGTGAGACCCTATACCAAAATAAGAGAAAAATGGCTGGGGATGTAGTGAGTGGCAAAGCACCCCTGGGTTCAATCCCCAGTGCTGAGAGCCACAGTCAAGTGACGCATGGCATTTTTGCCAGAATGGAGTGGTTGAGAGGTGACTCAGTGGTTGAGAGGTGATGCCAGCAAGCCATTGAGATGATGATGGTTATGTCAGGCGGTGTATTCAATTGTATATTAGACCCCTGCTGTCCGCCTGGGCACCCACTACTTTGGAGTTCTCCGGGGGATTCCTGGAGAGTTGGTTGGGGAAGTGCTGGAAGTGCGGGAGGAAGGATTTCTGGTACTCTGTTGAGAACATGATATAGGGCCAAGAGATTCCTGGAGAGTTCGAGTTGGTTGGGGAAATGAATAGATAAAAGGAAAGCTCTGTGTACTCTGTTGAGAACATGATATAGGGCCAAGAGCAGAAGCAGAGAGACCACTGAGGGGCCCAGTAGTGATCAATCCCACAGGGAGATAAAAACATGATGGTAACAGGACAGCAAGCAGAGCAGCACTAGGCGAGACACGGGCAGGGTGGCTGGCCACAGTCTCCTGCCAGGAAGCAAATGAAGAGTGACATTTCAGCCAGGCTAAGGCACCAGGAGTGGAGAGACAGGCAGGACAGAGCACATCTAGGAGACACAATCAAAAGAACAGGGACAGAAAGGGGACCAAAGGGTAGAGAAAGCTTCTGACTCAAGTGAACAGATGGGTACCTAAGAGTGTCGGGCAGAGAAAGAAAATAAAAACAGAAGAGCTTCAGCTTCCAGCCTGAAAAAAATTGAGGGATCTCTCTCCAGGAGACATGCAGCTCTTCTCTCTCCCTCAACCTTACAGGAAAGAAATTTTTTATCCTCAAAACTGGCAATCCATCCATCTAGCTGCTCCAGTCGGAAAACAACTGGGAGGCATCTGACTTTCTCAGCTTCATATCCAACCCACTAAAATCTCTCTTCTGTCTTCTCATCACTTACTCTACCAGCACCCACATCTAATCCCTGGGCCACTCACCTGGAAGTCCCTGATTGGTCTTTCTCTCTTGTCCTTAACCCACTCCTTACTCTTGGAATTTTTGTTTTGTTTTTTGTTTATTTATCTGGGTGTAGGGATTGAACCCAGGGCCTTATGTGTGCCAGGCAAGCACTCTACCATTGAGCCACATCCCCAGCCCCACTTCTCACTCTTCTTGAAGTCAGAATGTTGCATTCCTTTTTTTTTTTTTTTGGTACTAGGGATTGAACTCAGAGGCATTTGACCACTGAGCCACATCCCCAGCCCTATTTTGTATTTTTAAATATTTAGAGACAGGGTCTCACTGAGTTACTTAGCACCTCGCTTTTGAATTCATGATCCTCCTGCCTCAACCTTCTGAGCAGCTGGGATTACATGTGTGAGCTACCACACCCAGCCCAGAATGTTGCATTCTAAAATGAAAACTGGATTGTGCCAGTCCTAGCTCAAAACTTGGCTTCCTACTGGCATTAGGCTCCAAAATCCTGCCTGATCTTGGCCCTGCTTACCTATGCAGCCTTATCCCAGGCCACTTGCCCTCATGCTCCCTATAGAGCCCCAACTTGCAGAGCACCTGTCAGATAATAAATATTCAGCACATTTGCTGAATAAATGACAGCGATGTTTCAACTATTAGTTTGGGGCTATAGACCAAATGGGCCCCACAGGATCGCTCTGCTACCCAGGACTGAAACGCTTCAACTGGGAATGACTATGGCAGTATCCTGGACCACAAAGAAGAGTCAGAACAATTAGACAATTATCACCTGCCTTGCCATCTGGCAGCTGAGCTGTAGAGAGGTAGGAGCCTAAGGCTGAATACTCACCTCCTCAGCATTCTCCAAGTCATCTAGCCCTTCATCCTCCTCCACATCATCAAAGTCATCACCATCAAAACTGTTCAGGAAAAGAGATCAGTCACTTAGAACCTTATCAGAATCAAAGAAGTAGAGCCAGGGACTGAGGTGCACATCTGTAATCCCAGTGGCTTGGGAAGCTGAGGCAGGAGAATCACAGGTTTGAAGCAAACCTCAGCAACTTAAGACTGCAAGCAACCTAGTAAGACCCTGTCTCAAAAAAAAA